GAATAGCATGCCTGAGGTGCTTTTCTGGAGTCCACATCGCTGGTGGGGTTCGAGTCGCTGTAGCCAATCAAGGTCTCACCGTTGCCGCGGAGATATATGCATTTGTGCGTGAGTGTGCCAGCGATGTAACTGAGCAGATGCTTGACCGCCACGAGATGGTCGCTGGCTAGCGCCTCCATGAACCTGCTTAGGAACCCGACTGGGAACTCGATGTCTGGTCGGGTGTGTACCAAGTACCTAAGGCTACCGATGACACTGCGGTAGAACTTCGTGTCCACTGGCCTCTCCTTGTTCTCCCTGCTGTTGCAGCGGGCCTTCATCAGGGTGTGTGTGGCGTTGCAGTCCGCCATGCCCACTCATTTGAGCAGCTTGCTGGCATAGGCGACCTGGGTGATTGTACATCCGTCTACGCTCCTGATTCACCTCCAGACTATGGTGTAGCACCTTGAGGTTACTCATGCTGAAGAGCTGCTTCATTTCTTCCTTGAAGCAGCGCATGTCGTGTTGCTCAACTCCGGTGATGATAAGGTCGTCGACGTAGATGCCGACGATTAGTTGTGCGTCCCTGGTCCCTCGCGCGTACACACCGTGCTCCAGGCGCTGCGCGTGTAGCTGAGCGATGCCAATCTCGTGTCTAGCTTGGCATTCCATGCCCTCTGTGCTTGCCGCAGCCCGTATAGGGCCTTGTGTAGCCTGTACATGCCGTAATCATGATGGTCGGCGGTGAAGCCCGACGGTTGAGACACTTGAACCTCCTCCTCAAGGTCGCCGTTGAGGAATGCCGACTTGACGTCCATGTGGTGAACCTCCCAGCCCCGGTTCGCCGGTAGGGCAAGGCTCAGCTGCACAGACTCGAGCCTTGCCACCAGAGCGAAAACTTCCTCGAAGTCCACCGGCGCGAACCCTTCTGTCACTGGTGTTCAGAATAACACTTTACGTTCTCCCTGCCCTTAGCCTCTCCATGGCTTGTTCTCCATGATCCTGGGTTGAAGAATACGGACAAGACAAGAAACATCTACGGAATAATTTTATTTCACATATACGGGGCGTTAATTCAAAGCACTTTCATTGATCCCCACAACAAATATAACGGGTTGCAAGGCCTAGGCCTCAACCCATACCTTACCGAACTACTCACACATGGAGATCAGATGGAATGAAGAACACATTTTGAAGATCGATTGATTGATAATGTCTTACAATGGATTAATTGTGCGATGCACAATTACAAGTATGAACTAGAGGAAGATGAACTATGGTGGTGATGGTGGTGATGGTGGCTATGGAGATGGTAATGGCGACGGCTAGGGTTGATGAGAGAGGATGAAGGTGGCTCTGTTCTGGCTTCGCTCGCGGACGTTCTGTTGGCATTTTGGCGTGGTCCCATTTATAAAAGTTGTTCAGGTGGACGAGGAGCCTCAGAATCCACGGGAACGCCGTCTTTTGTTCTGTTTTCTCTGGTGCGCCTCCTGATTTCTTCTATCTCCTTTTTCACTCCTTTCCATGTTCACACGTGATTTCTTCCCTTTTTAGCCCATTTCTTGTGGAAACACATCAAAGAGAGGATTTGTGAAATCCTTTGCATTCATTAGTCATTAGTCACAATATCGGAACGAATATCTCGGTTTTAATGAAATATCTCGGTTTAAATAAAGGGTGAAGGAATGTAAAAATATCACTCATCAGCAAGTAATTTCTTCCTTCTCTCCTTCCCTTCTTGGGTTTGATTTCTCCGCTGCGGCCATGGCCATTGAATATTGGCCCAGCCTCACATTCTTCATCCACTTCACATGTATTCAATTTTTATTGTATACTATATATACTATACTATATAATACTCTATATACTACCTCCATTCACAAATGTAACATGTTCTATTTTTTCTGTGAATCGGATGTATAGACATGTTTTAGTGTATTTGTTCACTCATTTTAGTCCTTATGCAGTCCATATTGAAATACCCAAAACATCTTGGTAGTATTTGTGAGCGGAGAGAGTACATACTATGTATAGTTCAGCAGTACAGTACCATGTCGACTAGTCCAGCAGTAGTCTAGAGTAGTCACGTGAGTCTCAACCTCAGCTCGACTTGTCGACTCGTAATTCTTGGTTACATCAATAGGTGGTGTTTTGTCCAATAAATATGAAGAGTACATGTGTGCAAAATCAACCTCAATAGTTGGTGGTTTGTGTAATTTCACTTGTATATATGCACCCAGTTTTAAATTGGATGTATGTTTGGTATGTTTACTCATTTCAGTCCATACGTAGTCCATATTAAAAATATCCAAAACATCTTATAATAATGAACGAAGGGAGTATTTGGGTTATAGTGTCACCAAACACATGAGCAAAATATGCCTTATAATTTGTCAATTTGAGGATATGGACAAATTGTTTCTTTCTTGTGCATCTGTTGCATTCGATCTTCAGGCCCCATTTTCTTAGTTCACTCAGTCAGTACGTGAACATCTTATAATCCATCAAACCTGAATTAGAAAACACTTTGTTGTGTTCCATTATACTACCAAACAGCGGAAGAAAGCAGTCTGACTCTGACATGAAATCAAGTTCATTGTTATTGGTCAGCTCAGGTGTTCCACCGAATGCCCTGTAAACAAAATAGTATGCGTGACATTACGCATCAACATGTGAAGTGTCAGAATTGGATCATGACCAAACGTTTATTTATTATATGGGTTAGTGTCAGGTCTGCTACTAAATGTCCTTAAACAGAGTAAAATACGTGAATGTCATCAACATGTGAGGTGTCAGAACTGGATCATTACTGACATTTTATTATTAAGCATGAGGTTTGACCTATGCACAGTTGACTATAACCTGCCATAGCTCTCATGGCGCCTGACAGCATTGTTGTGCAAATTGTGGTATGGTTACGACAACAACAACATCAAAGCCTTTCATTTCCAAACAAGTTGGGTCGGCTAGAGTTGAAACCCATAAGATCTCAAAATCAAGTTATAGTTCTGGCATGTGGATAGGAACTTCCACGCGTTCTGTCCATGACTATTTCCCCGGTGATATTCCCGTCCTTTAGATCTTTCTTTACGTACTCCAATGTCATGTTTGGTCTATCTTGACCTCTCTTGGCATTGTCAACACGCTTTAACCGTACGCTATGCCCAGACCATCTTATGTTGGACAAGCTTCTTTGCAGTCGGTGCTACCCCAATTCTACCACGAATATCATCATTCCGGACCCGATCCTTTCTTGTGTGGCCACATATTCATCTCAATATGTGCATCTCTGCTACACCTAACTGTTTTACATGTCCCCTCATCCATCTTCATATAACATGGTAGGTCGAATCGACATCCTATAGAACCTGCCTTTTGGGTTTTGTGGCACTCTTGTAACGACGCTAGAAGCTTGGCGCCACCTCATCCACCCAGCTTTGATTCAATGGCTGACATCTTCATGGATATCACGTTCATTGACCCCACATATCGAAAGGTGACCTTCTGAGGTACCACCTGCCCATCAAAGCTAACCTACTCGTTCTCATGCCTAGTAGTACTGAAACCTAACCTCATGTACTTAGTTTTAGTTCTACTAAGTCTAAAACCTTTCGATTCCAAAGTCAGTCTCCACAACTCTTAACTTTGTATTAACCTTTGTCCGACTATCGTCGACTAGCACCACATCATCCACAAAGAGCATACACCATGGATATCTCCTTGTATATCCCTCATGGCCTCGTCCATTGCCAATGCAAAAAGGTAAGGGCTCAAAGCTGACCCTTGATGCAGTCCTATTTTAATCAGAATGTCATTAGTGTCGCCATCACTTGTTCGAACTTGCCACAACATTATCGTAGATGTCCTTGATAAGGGTAATGTACTTTCTTGAGTCTTTGTGTTTCTCCAAGGCTCACCACATGACATTCTACAGTATCTTATTGTAGCTTTCTCCAAGTCAATGATCATGTGCAGGTCCTTATTCTCCTGAAAATGGGTTACATGGTCGATCTCTCAGGCATGAAACCAAATTGATTACCGAGCATGCTTGTCATTCTACTTAAGCGGTGCCCAAGACTCTCCCATAGCTTCATTCTATGGCTCATCAGCTTAATCCCACTATAATTAGTACAACTTTAAACATCC